GGTAAGGTTAACTGGGTAGTTGTTAATTTTGTGATCTCAGTGGGGTAATGTCTCGGAACAAACTCCGTATTACATATGTGGCTGGAGTTGTTTCTAAAAATATTTCCCATCACAGACTTGGTTCCTACTGGAACATTGACATCTTGCCACAATTGGAATTGGCCTTAAACTATCACCAAACACCAGACACCTGGGAAAAGTCACTTACGCAAACACACCGTCCCCTCGCTGCCTCCTTGAAAGTAAATACACCAGGCAAGAGACCAAACAACATTCATGTCAGGGAAACTTCATGGGAAGGACAGAAAACATCACAGCCTCATTCTCCAGGCCTAACTAGATTGGTACTCTTTCTAGTCTGGGACCGTTGATTCTATTTCTTTTCTATTCCCCTTGATGCCTAGCACATTGCTGGAAAGATAATAGTAATTGCTGTAGATAAATATTTTCTGGCTGATTGATTTCATTTGTATAGTGTAAAAAGCCATTTTTGAACTTTCTTTTCAATATCTGCCAATTAGATTTTATCCCTTGTTTTGTACAAAGTAATGAACTGTTGGTTTCTTATTGAATAAGGGCAGAGGGCCATGTCTTATTCATCTTTGTGGCTTTCTGCACTCTAGCATTGGGCCTTGGACAAAGCAGATGCACAATATTTCTCTGCTGAAAGAATGAATAAATGAGGGTAGCTAGGTGGTGCAGTGGATAGAGCACGGGTGCTGAAGTCAGGGAGACCTGAGTTCGAATCCAGCCTTAGACCAAACACTTGACACTTACTAGCTGTGTGACCCTGGGCAAGTCACTTAACCCCAATTGCCTAAAAAAAATTTTTAAAGAAAATGAATGAATGACATAATATAAATTATTCTAGTTTTTGTTGGATAAATTTTGCAAGATTAGGTAAACCAGCCTGGGAGGGGCAGAACAGAAAACAAAAATGCTAAATAAAAATAGAGGAAGTAGTAGATATAGTTTTATAGAATGAGACTCCATAAAGGAACATGACTGGAGAGATAGAAAGTCCTTAAAAATAAAATTAATAGATGGAGGTAATGTTGGGTTCCCAAAGGCTGTATCCACAGAATACAAGCTCTGGCTGCTTCTACCATGATGGAAAGGCTTCATCTCTATGAAGTTAGCTACTTGGTGATAAAGTCAGTATCTGTGGCATCCCATGAAACAAAACAGCAAAACAGCCCTAAGCCCTGTGCCATCCCTTCCACATCTATACTGTTGGTGGTGTGATGTGGAAAAGGGAGAAGAAGGTCCTGAGAATTGCTTAGTTTCTAACTTATTTATGGAAGCCCATGAATAAGAACTACATAAGAGGAAAGGTCAGAATGGGTTGATATGTACTATTGGAAGAAATACCACAATAAGGAGACCATAAGATCCATTTAAGTCAGGAGTTCTTAACCTCGGGTCCACGAAGTTGTTTTACAGATATTTTGATAAATCTATTTAAGTTGGTTTCCTCTGCAAACTTTTGTATTTTACATTATGCAGTAAAAACATTTTTCTGAGAAGGGGTACCTAGGCTTTACTAGATTACCATTAGAGTCCACCACACACACACAGACACACACACAAAGATTAGAAACCTGTGATCTAAATTAAAAGCAGAATTAAGGGGGGTGGGATAGGATTAAGGGAAATATACTTAGTTTTTTACAACATGACTACTATGGAAGTGTTTTGCATGACCACACATGTTAACCTGTAACCAGTTGCTTGCCTTCTCAATGAGGGTGGGTGGGGAGGGAGAATGGGAGAAAATTTGGAACTCAAAGTTTTAAAAACAAATGTTAAAAAAGTTATTTTCACATGCAACTGAGAAATAAGATATACAGGAAATGGGGTATAGAAATCTATCCTGCCCTACAGGGAAATTGAAGGGGAAAGGGATTAGAGAAGGGCGGGGGAAGAGATAGAAGGAAGGGCAGATTAGGGGAAGGGGTATTCAGAATACATGCCATCTTGGGGTAGGGGTAGGGGATGAGATGGGGAGAAAATTTGGAACTCAAAATCTTGTGGAAGTGAATGTTGAAAACTAAAAATAAATAAATTAATTTTTAAAAAAGCAGAATTAACTACAAATGACAGCTAAGAGGAAAAACATCTGAGAAGGCTGAGATGGCTCCATTAAGAACTCTTCTAACGAACTCAGATTTTAAAAGTAAATGTAGAAAAGATAGACACTGAGGAAGAATACCAAAGAGTAGCAAAGATTTGTAAGGAAAGTGTCTATAGGTGCCATTTAACTACCAGATAACCTGGTCTGTTCATTAAAAAGGATTAGAGGGCAGCTAGATGGCCTAGTGGATAGAGCACTGGCCCTGAAGTCAGGAGGACCTGAGTTCAAATGTGCCTCAGACACATGATACTCACTAGCTGTGCGACCCTGAGCAAGTCACTTAACCTCGACTGCTTTGTGCAAAAAAAAAAAAAAAGATTAAGCACTGGGAAAGTCCTGCTCTCACCTTGGCTGTTATGGACTCCATCCATTGCTTGGTCTCAGGAGCAAGATCTATAACCAATGAATGGAAGTGACAAAGAGGCCATTTGACCCTATGTAAAGAAAAGCTTCCCAACAATTAAAGATAATAAAACTAATAATAGTTAATGTATAGAGAATGCTATAAGGTTTGCATAATCCTGTAATCCTTTCAACAACCCTTCGAAGGGCGGCTGGGCTCGGCAGAATTAGGAAGATTCATCTTCCCGTGTTCAAATCTGGCCTCAGACACTTACTAGATGTGTGACCCTGGACAAGTCACTTGACCCTGTTGGCCTCAGTTTCCTCATCTGTGAAATGAGCTAGAGAAGGATGACAAACCACTCCAGTATCTTTGCCAAGAAAACCCCAGATGGAGTCACAAAAAGTCAGACACAACTGAAATGAATGAACAACAATATGAGGTAAATTATCTCTATTTTGCCAAAAAGGAAACTGAGGATCAGACCTTCATTGAGGTCCTGAATTCCTTCGTTTCTACTGAAAAGCCTTTCTTTCTACTCTTAGGATAACCCAGTTCTTCCTGTCAGGCCCAGTTCAACACCCATCTCTTCAATAATGCTTTTCTTGATTGTTCTAATATATGCAAGAATGTGCTGATAAACATTTAACAACCAGCTCTTAAAAAATGTAGGCAGGACACATTTTAAAGTTTAGGCTGTATTATTAATATTTTCTCCTTCACTTAAGTGTAGATAAGAAACAAAACAAGAATTCAAGCCTTGATATGTAGCTCCTAGCACACCCTGAATATGTCACCTGCTCTGAACTCCCACACTTACCATTTGTCCTACAGAATTGAGCACTGGGTTACATACTGTTTTGCATAATGTGCCCATTTTACCCCATTGTGTTAGTTTGGGGACATAATACCATATGCTGCATTTTTCATTCCTATTGTTTTTATACCATTATCACCTCACTAAGTGCCAGGCAAATTGTGAACCCATGATCTTAAGAACAATAAAACTTAAATAATAATGCTTTAAATAAAATGCTTTAAGGTCTACAGGGTAGTTTCCTGGCAAGCACCCTGTGAGTCAGATAGTGCAAATATTACCCTCTCCATTTCCTCTGTGAAGATGGTCATCTCTCTCTGGCTTTGCCCTCATTTTCTTTTTTCTTTTTTTTGGGGTAGGCAATGGGGTTAAGTGACTTGCCCAGGGTCACACAGCTAGTAAGTGTCATGTGTCTGAGGCAGCATTTGAACTCAGGTCCTCCTGAATCCAGGGCTGGTCCTCTATCCACTGCACCACCTAGCTGCCCCGCCCTCATTTTCCAAAGCTGCTCCCCCTATTCATAAACTAGGTTTTTTTAACTTAAATTAAATTTATTTTAAGTTCCAAGCACTCTATTCCTTCTCTCTCTCCCTCCCTCCCTCCTTCTACCACTGCCTCTCCTTCTTTTCCCCTCCTACTCTCCCCCCCCACTTTTCTCCCTCTCCCTCCTCTTCCCCTTCGCCTTCCTCCTTTCTCTCTTTCCCTCTATCTCTCCCCCCTCCCCCACCTCTCTTATGTAAAACCATACTATGAATACTTCTATTAATCAGTCCTTTCTCTGGAGGTGAATTGCATTTTCCTTCATACTTTTCCTGAACTTTGGCATGGAAACAGCAAAGCCCAAGGCTGGCACAGCTGAAGGGAGTTAATCATTGACCCTCTACGCCCTGATTTTGGAGTCCAAGGATTTGGAATTCAAATCCCACTTCTGGAGCTTTCTACTTATGTGACCTTTAGCAAGTTAGTTAACTCTCCTGGGCCTCAGTTTCCTCATCTGTAAGAGGAAGAAGTTGGACAAGCTGGACTCTGGAGGGCCCTTCCAACTCTTGAGCTAGCATTCTGTGGCTCAAGGCTGTACTGCACAGCATAGAATGCTGGATTTAGAATTTGGAGGAACTGAGGTCAAATCCTGTCTCAGACACTGACTCCAGATTGTGTGACAGTGCGAATCACTTCACCACTCCCAGACTCAGTTGCGAATCACTTCACTACTCCCAGACTCAGTTTCTTGTTCTTTACAATGCGGATAATTACAGCATCTACCTCACTCAGTTGTTATAAAGGATTAAATGGAATGGAGCACGTATGAAGAGCAGTATTGCTGCATTGCGTCTGTGAACTCGGGGATTTTCAAGGAAACTGGCCAGAATGGGTACTCCTTTCTCTCCTGGAGATGTGGTCACCTTGGGGTGGTGGTGCCTGACTTGTCCCTGCTCAGGCCCCGAAAGCCCTGCCACCCGGGACAGAGGCCGCGTAGTCCCTTTCCCGGGAACTTGTAACTGACACCACTGGTAAGCCCCGGGTGCATCTCTGGTCCAGATGCCGCAGAGTCCCGCCCACCTCTGGACTGACGCTAGCCGGGGGAGGCGGTGACTTGAGTCATCTACCCGGAAGATTCGGAGGCCTGCAAGAGCCCTGGTCTCAGGTTGGGGAACAGACTGGGGGGCGGCCGAGCAGGGGGCCGCGGGGAGGGCCGAGGGGGATGCCTCAGGGCACGGGGCTGGGGGTGGGCGCGGCCGTGCTGCTGCTGCTCTCCGCGCTGCTTCTGCCGAACCTGAACCTGGAAGGCCCGGAGGAGGAGCCGCCCGGCTCCAGGTAGCGCCCCCCTGCTCTGCCCACGAGCAGGGAGCTGTCTGCTCCCCACTGTCGCCCCCACGGGCTGGGCAGAAGGGCGGCTGTGCCTCCCGCTGCTGGCCACGGGAGCCCTTCCCTGCGGCCGCCTCGCCTGCCTTCCTCTTGGGTTGTTTGTACTTTACTCGAGATTGGGAGTGGTTCCTACTTCTGTAGGAGAGAGAAGAGCCCCCACGGAGGCCCTTGCCCGGGTGCCCTTTGGGGTGGGACATTCAGACTCCCTGTATTCCTTATTCTAGATTCCAGGTTTGTATTTTTGGAGAATAAGTAGAGGAAGGCTCCTTTCCGGGGGCTCAGGTGAGCATGGATTCCCATGCTACCTGACTCATCGGTTTCTCCACCCTTCCTTCCTCCATCCCTCCATTATGGATAAGACAAAAAGATGAGAAAACACCTCTTGTCTTCTCACCAATCCCAGATTCTCCCTGTAAACAGCCCCCCACCTCCACCCCACCAAAAACAAGATTTAGAGCAAAATCCAGAGTCCAAGATGAGGTCAGGCAGGACAGCTAGGTGGCTCGGTGGGTAGAGTGCTGTGCCTAGAATCAGGAAAACTTGAGTTCAACTCTGGCCTCAGACCTTACTAGCTCTGTGACCCTGTGCAAGTCACTTAACTTCTCCCTTAATCTGCTGGAGAAGGAAATGGCAAGCCATTCCAGTATCTTATCCATAGACAATATAGTCCACAGGGTTATGAAGAGTCAGACTGCATAACAATAACAGGACAAGCTTGAAAATAATAAGATGTGGGCTTTTTACCAGCTCACTGGGCCTTTCACCAGACTACTGTAAGTGAGGATACCTATGTTCAAGTCCTTGCTTTGGGTTCCATTCTCTTAGGAACATAGACTTAAAGCGGGAGGGACCTAGGAGGTCATTTAATCCAGTGGCATCATCTTGCAGATGTGGTAACCAAAGTACAGTGGCCCATGGGACTTGCCCAAGGTTCCACAGGTAGCTAAGTGTTAGAGCTGAGACTTTAACCTAGACTCTCTGGCTCCTGATCTTTTCCTATGATTCTTCTACTTCTCATCCTTGGGCTAGTGATCTAATCCCTTCTCTGAGCCTCAGTTCTTGATCAGCAAAATGCATTATAAGGGGAATTTTAAAAAACAACCTTACAAATTCTTGCAAGCCTCCAACATTTGATATGTCTCTTGCACACAGCATGGTGGATACAGAAACCCTGCCAAAGTGTCGGGAAGACTTCAGGATGCAGAATAAATCAGTGTTCATTCTGGGGGCCTCAGGAGAAACTGGCCAAGTGCTTCTCAGAGAAATCCTGAAAGAGAACCTGTTTTCTAATGTCACCCTCATTGGGCGAAGGAAAATAGAGTTTGAAGAGGAAGCTTATAAACATGTGGTAACGTATAGGGTGTTGTGGGTTGGCAGCGATTGCAGAACACTCAGAATTTACCCCATAGGAACTTTTTATGATTAGTATATTTGAGAACTACAGCACCATCTTGGCCCCAGGGTTGGCTTCCAGAATTTGGTAAAGGTTGGCCTTTCTGGTTATTTCCTTTTTACTCTGGGCCTTCTTTATGCATCTCACTTGATTGGAGAGGTTGTGTGTGTGTGTGTGTGTGTGTGTGTGAATTCATCATGTGTAAAGCACCATAAACCCAAGATTTAGGGGATTGCACATAGGAGTCAAGCACGCCCAGTCCCAATTAGTGTTGGAGGCATGGAGGTGTTTGTGGAAGGAAACTCAGCAAATCACTCAGCCTTTTTGTGTCTTGGTTTCCTTACCTCTAAAATGGGCGCAATCTTATTTTGCCCATAAACTTTATAGGATTGTTGGGAGGATCAAATGCTAGGAATGTATGTTAAAATGGTTTGAAAAGCTTAGAGAGTTAGAAAAATGCAGAGTGTTAGGCCCTGGGGATACAAATTGATCAGAAGCAAACATTTGTTAAGTGCCTACTGTGTGTCAGGCATTGTGCTAGGCTGGAGGTTCAAAAATAGTTCCTACCCTCAAGGAGCTTAAAATTTAACTCTTGGGGGAGATGCAAAGATACAAACCCTGTATGGGTTGATCGTCTTGTCCATTTGAGGCTGTTTGCTGGATGCTCTTCTGACAAAAACTCCTTCATTGCACATCAGAGTACCTAGACATTGATGTTGTGATATCCGTTAAAGCTGTGGAAGTACAATTATTCTGGTAGCTTAGCACTAGGCAAAATTTTCACTTCTGCAGTTGGGGAGAATAGGGTCAAGTCAACAAGCATTTATTAAGTACCTACTGCATGTCAAGCACTGAGCTAAGCCCTGGGGTAGGCAATAATAACTGAATGAGCAAAATATTTACATTTTCATCGTTGTAGGGATCTCTTTCTACCAGATCCGCAGCCCACCTGTGACTTAATACATAAGTCTTTGGGGAGCTGCATAGAAATTTTCATTTTGGCAGGGATGTTAACTGATGAATTATTTTATACTTCTCCTTTGTGTCCCTTAGGGATGTTAAGATTTAGTTTTCAGCCCTTCAGAGAGAACATGCTTCATGTGCGGGAGAATTTGTAGATGTAGATGTTTGATAGACAGACTCTTGCAGTGTCTTCCATTTCATTCTTTAAAGCTGTCTAACAACACGAAGTAATTTTTATCTGTGTGCTTATTACTTAGCGTCAAGAAGTGGTGGATTTTGAAAAGCTTGATGAATATTCCTCAGCTTTCCAAGGCCATGATGTTGGATTTTGTTGTCTGGGGACTACCAGAAGCAAAGCTGGTGCGGTAAGAAAGGAGAAAACCCTCTGGACCTTCATGTTAGAGGGAAATCTCCAAGATCTCTTTTCTTCTCATCCTTTCTTCTTCCATTCCACCTACTCAAGTACTGTTGGCCACGCTGAGAAAGACTTTGTGTGATCTCCCAAGAGAGAATCATCATTCAGGATTCTATGCTACTCCATTCTATGTTGTATTCTGGAACGTACGGAATAGTCATCCTTGGTTTTTCCCCTCCTAATTTATGTTCCTTTCTCTTTCTTCCTTTCTTCTTCACTCTTTTCCTCTCTCCCTTTCTTCCTTCCTTCCTTCTTTCTTTCCTTCCTCCCTCTGTTTGTTCATTCACTTATTCATTTGTTCATTTATTCATTCATTCATATCAATTAAGAAAAAACTCAACAAAGACCAGTTGACAATAGACAATATAACCGTGCCTCATAATATATGCAGTATTTGACATGCATTTTCTCCCAACCTGTCTCTTGAGAGGAGGAAGATAGGTTTCCTCTTTTCACTGGTAATTTCAATTAACTTGAGCTTGACAGCATTTTAGGGTTGTTTTCATGAACATTGTCTCATTGTATATAGTATTTTCCATGCTGTCTGTCAGTTCATACAAGTCTCCTATTTTTCTGAATTCTTTATGTTAATTCACATGGAGCAATAATAATATTCCATTATATGTATTGTAATAAGTGAGTACCAGACTTAGCCAAATATTTGAGAAGTTGCTAGATATTTCCTTGATACTCCTATTTATAAATTGTGCTGAAGTCAGAACCTTGAGGACAGACAAGGTTGCCTGGGGACAGCTGCCAGGACTGGCCTGCCGCTGGGCCTGCTGCCTGCAGCTTTAGTGTAAGGAGCTGCCCAAGAGGATGAGAAAACCTACCGTCCATAGTCACATATCAGATATTGGGAAGTTCAGTCATTCAGTCAAGGAACATTTAATTAAGCTCTTATTATGTGTAAGACATTGTACTAAGTGCTGGGGAGACAAAGAAAGACAAAAACTTGGTCCCTTCAAGGAGTTCACATTGTAATAGAGAAAGCAACATGCAAACAACTCTGTACAAATACATAGTCAAAATGCAGATATATGTGCAAAAATATGTACAGGAGAAATGGGAGGTAAGTGCAGAGGGAGGGCACTGGTAGTGGGGGACATGGGAAGGCCTCCTCCAGAAGGTGAGATTAGAGCTGAGTCTTCTAGAAAGCCTGGAAAACCAAGAGGTGGAAGGAATGAGAGGAAGTATTCCGGGTGTGGGGGAGAGCCAGTGAAAAGAAATGAAGTTGGGAAATGAATTTTCATATGTGGCAACGGCAAGAAAGACCAGTGTGGCTGGGTTTGTAGAATCTCTACAGGGGTGTGGGGTTTGGAAGTGTCAGATGACTGGAAAGGTAGGAAGGGGCCGGGTGCCAAAGCCCATTAAAAGCCAGACAGAGACTTTGACATTTGATCTTGCAGATCAGAGGTATCAAACTTGCATCTTTCAGCCCACAAACAGAACTCTGAGTGTAGCCTGAACCGGATTTTTAACAAAATAAACAAAAGTGCAGCACAACATAGAGCCTATTAATTTGTGGTTTCTAAGGTGATATGCAGCTGGCAAGAGTCTTTTTCTATGAGTTTGACGCCAGTGCTGTAGGGAGTAGAGAGCCACTGAAGTCTATTGAGTAGGTGAGTGACCTGGTCAGATGTGCACGTTAGGAAGGTTTTGCCAGCAACTGAGTGGAGGATGGGGCAAGACCTACCAGTAGGCTATAGTCCTATTGTAAAGTGATGAGCGCCTGCCCCAGGGTGGCAGGTATGTGAGCAGAGAGAAGAGGACTTATAAGAGTGATGGAAAAATGACAGGGCTTTGGCAACAGATCGGATATAGGTGTAGGGGTGAGTTGAAGCAGTGAGTCAAAAAATTGGGTCATAGAGTAGTGGAGACAGGGTGAATTGACTAAGCGTAGGATCCAAAAGCCAGATGAGTCAGAGGCCAATGGGGTTGGTAAATGTGGATGAACATCTTCCTAGCCACACAGGGAATTACTTACTGATGGGGAGACCTTGCCATAGCCCTTTGGCATGCTCATGGAGCCCTGCCACCATGTTCCCTATAAGGTTCTTTTTTTTTTTTTGGTGAGGCAATTGAGGTTAAGTGACTTGCCCAGGGTCACCCAGCTAGTAAGTGTTATGTGTCCGAAGCCAGATTTGAACTCAGGTCCTCCTGACTCCAGGGCTGGTGCTTTATCCACTTCGCCACCTAGCTGCCCCCACAACCCATGACCCTCGGACCTGACAGTGGTGCTCTCTCCTTGTCATTGTGAGTCATTAGGTCTGATTAATTGTAACTGGCCATTGTTTTTGTCAGTTAATTCTATACCTGTCTCCCTCCTCCTTCCCCTTCAGCCTCTTTTCATGCTAGACTTTACACATCAGTGATAAAGCATCAGAACATCTAGACACGACTTAGCCCCTAGTGATAACTGAGCCTTCATTAATGATTCAGCCTCAGATGATGATTCAGAGTTGTTTAGCATGATTTCTACTTTTCCATCTTCTCATTACTAATACCTTAGCTCAGCTCTTGTTCGGAAAGATACTCTCTTACGTTTTCGCTGCAGTCTGAGAGGCCTGTTTGTTTGTTGACATGAGGGCATCATGTGGCACACTGCAGTAGAAAGGTGCTTTGGGGTCCCTGTCTCTTCTGCAGGAGTTAATTTACTGCCTCTAATTTCTATCCGGAGCATTGTTTGTTTCCCTTGGCAAAATTTATTTGCTGAGGATAAAGAGCATGTGTAATGAGTAAGAAAAATGTGATTCCTTCCCTTAAGGCTTATTGTCAAATATAGGTAAAGGAGGCTCACGTAAAATACACTCACATAGTCTTCCTCACCAATTGTGGGTGATCCCAGGTCACTGGCAACTAGTGCATAAAGCTGAGATGCCGGTATATATCTTCCGATTTTCAAAATAGACACCATTTGGAAAGTTAGACTTTAAACTCGGTCTTGGAAAGAAGGAAGAGGTGATTAGGCCTGAGAGAGAAATGTGCAGTGGAGAGCACTCATGGACATCCATTACTACCTGTGTGACTTTGGGCCAGTCACTTTACCTCTCTGGGCCTAATTTGCCTTATCTGTGAAATGGAACTTGGTCTAAATGACTTCTCACATCCATGAGCTCATGAGGATAAGTAAAAGCAGGCAGCGATCAAGAAAATATTTTTGTGTTTCAGTCTTTTAAATGTTGCTTTAGTTTCTGGAGTAGGGAGTGGCACATCCTTAAAGGAAGCATTTGATTGATTGATTCATCTAAACTACATTTATGTGGAATTTTCCACTGTTCCACATGGGACCTTGCTGATTTTCATGATGGTTCACTAAAATCCAAGACTGTTTTTAAGCCCAGAACCATCTGTTTTCATGCTAGAAAACAAATCTTTCTACAGGTAACTGTAAAGCACTGTCTGGTAGACTTTGTTGTATTCAGATTTTGTAGAACTATGTGGTCCATCAGTAGGAAGCAGGCTTCTTTTTTTCTACTTCTAGCAGCTTTTTTTGTTTTTGTTTTTGTTTGGAATTTGATCTAGTCTTTTATCTATTGAAATGAGATTTTTTTTCTTGCCCACCCAGACATTATTTGTTCTGGCTGTCCTATTTCAAAAACATGACATGAAGGTGGAAATTTTTAGTAAGTTTAAAGGTGAAAGAGAATCACATTTTGTTCAGTTGTTTTGCAGTCCTGTCTGACTGTTCCTGACCCCATTTGGAGTTTTCGTGGCAAAGATACTGGAGTCGTTTACTATTTCCTTCTCTGGTTCATTTTACAGATGAGGAAACTGAAAAAAGCAGGGTTAAGTGACTTGTCCAGGGTTACACAGCTAGTAAGTGTCTGAGGCCAGATTTGAACTCACGAAGATGAGGCCCACCTAGCTGCCCTAGAATCACATTACTTCTGTTCTTTAGAGGAAAATGGTATGTGCAGTTGAATGTGCCCTAAATTTGGGGCACTTTGCAAGTGACTTAGAAGTATGGCCTTGGGCAAAACCTTTACTTATTAGACCCTCAGTTTCCTCATCTGTAAAATGGAGATACTTCCTGCCTCTTTATCTCTTGAAGTTGATGTGATTACCATTGTGACCTTGAGAATGTTGCTTTGATTTTCTGTGGGTTTCCATATCTGCAAAATGACATGAGGTTTTGAAATGGCCCTTCTGGCTCCAGATCCTATGAAGTCTGCATATGAAATAATGTATGTCATGATTTTTAACCATACATAAAAGATTTTAGTAGTAATACCATCTAATGAATATTAAGTGTTTGCTGTGTGCAGGGGCAGATGCCATGTTTAGATAAGACAAGACACCTGTCCTCAAGGAGCTTATAGCCAGCTAGGGGCATATGGAGTATACTCTTTTTTTTTTTACTTTAATGGGCATTTGTGCAGAGCTTTGATGAAAACTAGGGACTTTGAAACTTGGAGGTAAGGAGTAAGTTCCTTCTGTACATGGGGGACAGCTTATGCAAAGGTACAGAGAAGGCAGATGAGCAGATGTATGGGAAGAACAGCAAACAGGCCAAGTTGACCAGTTACGTGAAGGTTAGTAATATATCCTAAGGCTGGAGAGGTAGGTCAGAACCGGATTGAGATGGGCATTAAATCCTAAACAGAAGAGTTTGTATTTGATCACAGAAAAGAGGTAAGGCTCACATCATTCCTCTTTTATGCTTCATGTTAATTTCCATTAGATCGGGCCTGGCACATAGTAGGCATTTACTGAATGCTATTGTATCTTTACACAAGTAAAGGACAAACTAGAACAAACTCCCTTCTCAACTCCACCTTTAAGAATCCTAGGGGGCCTCTAGGTGGCGCAGTGGATAGGGCACCGGCCCTGAAGTCAGGAGGACCTGAGTTCAAATGTGGCCTCAGATCAAACACTTGACACTTACTAGCTGTGTGACCCTGGGCAAATCACTTAACCCCAATTACTTAACTAAAAAAAAAAGATCCT